GCTTCTTTAAATGCCGGGATTACAGGCCTTTGCTGTTGCTCCCAGCTATTTGTCCTATTTCAATGATGCTGAGGTTTGAGATAAAGGTTTTTTGTTCAAGATCAGTTGTTCCTGGCAAGTTACTTCTTTGGACCTATTTTAATTTCTCTAGTGATATCTTCATACCCATAATTACAAAGAGGTTAAGAAAAGATGAGTCCAGGCATCATGATGCTGCACACCTTTAATCCCAGCAGGGGTGGCAGAGGCAAGTGGATCTCCGTGAGTTTAAGGTCAGCCTAATCCAAAGAATAAGTTCCAGGCAGGGCAGTGATGGCACACTCCTTTAATCCCAATACTTGGGAGGCAAAGGGAGACAGATCTCAGTGAGTTTGAGGCCAGCCTGGTCTACAGTCAGGACAGCCGGGACCAGGACTGTTTTACAGAGAATCCCTGTCTTGAACTGCGCCCCCCTCAAAAAAAAAAGTGGGGTCCAGGACAACCAGAGCTACACAAATTCTGTCTCAAAAAAAAAAAAAAAGAAAGGAGTTGGATTTTTAAAAATTTGTTGTTGTTGTTTTATGAATGTATGTATGGAGGTGCTCATGGAAGCCAGAAGAGCCATCAGATTCCCTGGAGCTGGAATTACAGGTAGTTAGTTTCTTAACCTTCTGACATGGGTGCTAAGAACTTAGTCCTCTGAAGAACATCAAGCTCTCTTAACCACTGAGCCATGTCTCCAGACCTAGTTTAGTTTTTATGGCTGTGTTATTGTAGCCCAGACAGGCTCCAGTTTTGTGAGCTTCTGATAGAGTATTTGCCTAGAGTGTGAAATGTGCTAGATTTAATCCTCAATACCACAAAAACTCTCATAGTCTGAAACCTTTGGTTTGTTTGGTTTGGTTCTTTTTGAGATAGGATTTCTCTGTGTAACAACTCTGGCTGTCCTCTGTAGACCAGGCCTTGAACTCACAGAGATCCTCCTTTCTCTGCCTCCTGAGTACCAGTGGCATGAGCCACCAATTGCCCAGACCCTGATACTTGTGTTTGATGGCCAAAATTATCACTATTCTCTACTTTGGAAGCTCCTGCCACCCATTGGCCTTAAACTTAGAGATCTTGGGTACTATGAGTAAAGGAAAGCACCACAATGCCTGGCAGGCCCTCTTATCTTTTGTTAGTTTTTATACAGATACATGTGATATATTGAGCACACTCCCTCTACTTATCCACTCTTATCCTTCCATTTCCCATCCCTCTTTTTTAGTTCCCCTTCTCCCCTGTACAGTTTTAGCTCTACACACATGATTTTATGTATCTCTATTAAAACTAGGAGCCACCAGTGAGAGAACATACTATATTTATCTTTCTGAGATAATTATATGATTATCTCCAGTTACATCAGTTTTCCTAAAAATGATATAACTCTATTCTTTGTCTGAAGGTCCCATAGTGTATGTATGCATTTTACTTACACATCCCTCAGTTGTGGGATGTCTTTGTTAGCATATTCATCTGTATACTACATACATGCCAGAAGAGGGTGTCAGGTCCCATGGGGGACTGGAGTTACAGGTGGTTGTGAGCTACTTTGGGTGCTGGGACCTGAACCCTGGTCCTCTGCAAGAGCAGTTAAGTGTTTAAAATCATTGATTTATCCATCTCTCCGGCTCCTGATAAAGATCACCCCCTTTTCCTTAGCATGCATAAGGCTCTGCCCCCACACAAAAAAGTGTAAATTCCCACATGTGAAGCAAATACGGTTTTGATCTCTAAAATGTTTGTTACAGTCAGGTGAAAGGACAATGTATGAATTATAGTCTGGTTTTCTTTCTTTCCTTCTGAGACTAGGTCTCATATAACACAGGGTGGCCATGAACTGGCTATGTAGTTAGTTTTACAGGACCTTGCATTCCTGATCTTCCTCTTCCTGTTAATGGTCTCTGTTTTATTATTACATCCTCCTTTCCTTGGGTTTTAGGGATTACTAATATAAAGAGTAATATATTAGGGGGTAATAATTGCTAAAGTTTGTTTTATAACATTACAAGAATAACTAATAAAATACTTAAATTTAATCATAACGACTGTTACCAACCTGGTGTCTGAAAGGTCCAAGCATTATGCTGGCCTGCCTCTGTTACCTGGCGGAATCCACCCAGGCAGTACCCTGGTCGGCTCAGGGTTCCATGGGAACTAAGTCTGCACACAGGTGCAAAGGACCCCTTTAAAAGACAGACCCCTGCCCACTTATGTTCCTCTTCTCTTCTCTCTTCTCTTCTCCCACCTACGCTCTCTCTGCCTGACTATGGTGACCCGCCATGGCGGTCAGCCATTAGCCCTGTTCCTCTTCTCTCTTAGTCTCTCTACTCTGCCGGACCTATAATAAACTGGTTAATATGTCTAATAGTCTTCATGTCTCATCTTGTGATTCTTCTTCATTTCTAATTTAAGCAAAAGAATAACACTGTCCCTCTTTTTTTTTTTTTTTTTTTCTTACTAAGGGACTAATTTTTCTCACCTGTAAATTCAGCTGAAAAGTTCTTTTATGGATTGGGGATGTAGCTCAGCCGTCTGTATAAGGCCCTGGAGTCCATGCCCAGCTATTGTTTCAAGTGTCTGGGTTCTAGTTCTGTTGTAATTCTCTCAAACAAGAAGTTACATAGTGTCATTAAAATACTTCCCCTCTCCCTTTCCCTGTTACTTCTTTCCCTCAAGCTATTTTAATTAACTGTACAGTGACAGATGGTGGAAAAAGCTTTGTCCAAAGTGCTTCTAGATTAGGGTGGTTTGTCTTGGGCTGTTGTAGGAAGGGCCTACTCTTACCCCTCCCCCTCTGCCAGTGAGCTGTAATCCTGTTAGGTGGTCCTAAAATGAATGCAATTGATTAATTCACAGTGCTTTTAGAAGAATAAGCCTAAATTTTGGACTTTAAACCAAAGAACTAACCCCCTTTAGCTCTGAAAGCCTTAGCCTTGAGGCCAAGGGAGGTACCTTCCAACTTCTCCACCCAGTCTGCAGTGAAAAGGAAAGTTAAGCCTTTTAACTTTTTCATTTGCCTCTCTCTCTTAGTCTAGTAAGGCTGCCAGTTGCCATGGCAACGGACTGGGACAGCTGCGCAGTGGCGCCCAGGCAGCTGGGTGGGGGCGGGGGAACTGCCAGCCCGCCAAGCCCCAGACCTGGGAGGGGAGGCCCCTCCTGTTAGCCCAGAGGGAAAGAACGAACTGGGGCGATCCGGTAGGTAAGGGAGGGAACCCCTATTGATCTACTTAGGGCTTCTCTTTAGCATGAAGGTATAAAGAAAAAAATTCTCTTCCTCCCTCAAACTGTAGAACACATATGTAAATCCTTGTTTTTTTCCCCTGGTGAGGCAGGGAAGGCCATAGCCACAATGCTTAACTGCATGCTTCCAACATGGGGCTGGTTTAAACCCAGCGCTCTGACCTAAACTGCTCAGCTCCCGGAAATTCCAAGGTGAGTGGGGGTGGGGGTGGGGTACTCTCTTCTGGAATATGACATTTCCTGTCTGTACTGAGGTCGGAGGCTATTTATTTTAAATAAACGTTATTATATTTTTTTGATGCCTGGGAGTCTTCTAAATTAATGGAAAATTTATTTGAAAATCTTTTTACCTATATTTCCCCATGCCTTCACTCTCAAGTAAAGTTATTATAGGTTAGAAATTAATACAAGCAGTTTTTGTGACTGGCCTACCTACTGCTAATAAGTTCTGTGGATAGGATTTTTCAACACTATATTCCTGTAATGTTTCTTTAAAATTACTAATTTGAAATAAATTGATAAATACAAACTTCTGCTTCTTTGACTTGAACATAATTCTGAGATTAGTTACCCTTTCTATACCTGAGGTTGGCTTTCTGGCCAAGATGGAAATGTTATGAAAAACATCTTTAGAAATTATAGAGAAATAACAGCGGAGTCAGCTGAGATTGATTCCTGCTATTTGATAATCCAGACTGTGGGTACCATTTAACATGATTAAGGAAGAATTCTTTTAAAACGATTATGGTTCAGCAGTGTGGGAATTTTTAAAACTAGATTCTCTGTTGAGCACCTCTGACTGCATATTTCTGAGCCTAATTTCCATTTGTGCTGCCTTGTCCTGGCTTTCCTGGGAGATGAATAGTCCTCTGTGTTCTGAGGAGGCTTCATGTTGATTCAGAATCTGGGGCCAGACTTCTTTCCCCTCCTCTTCCTTTGGCCCAAAGTCAACTTCAGTGAAGAGGCAAGGTACCTCCATAACTGTTTGGGTTAGTCGAGCCCTGGGAATTACAGACTAGTCCAATGACTAATTTTGAATTTTTTTCCCTCTGCCCCCTTTCCCTTCTATTCCCAAATGAGCTTGCTAAAAAGGAGGCTTAGTGTTTTTGAGCTGTCAGCCTTGTTTTTGTGAGCTGATGGACATGCTAAAGGGACAGACTCAAGTTGTTTAAGGGAAATGTACCAAGTCACTAGAAATGTGGTGAGAGATGGTTAACTGCCGTGTGTGTGTGTGTGTGTGTGTGTGTGTACACGTACACGCTGAGAAGAGACTGACCAAAATGCTCAGAGTATGGAAAAGTTACTTTTGGGTGTTTTGTGGGGGAAGGTTTCTTTTTTTCTTTTTCTTCATTTTTATAAAAACATGTATTCGCCTCAGAGGAAAAGGATTTTTATTTTTTGGTTCCTTTAATTGAAGGTTTTCCACATTTTCCTTTGAGTTCCTGGCTCACAAGTAGATGCAGAAATGGTCATGAGTAGCATGTCATGCTACTTGGTTTTTTGAATATTAAAATTAAAGGAATGTGTCATTTAATTTGATCTCTTCAACTGAAGAGAAGTTGTTGTTAGGGAAATGTGGATTGACCCATTTTAAAATTAAATCTGTAGCCCTGTCTTAGAATAATTGTAGACCAAAAAGAAGGGTATGAGACTGACTAGTATTGTACCCTCTGTTCCATCAAGAAGTGGCAGTTATAACCCTCACGGATTGTAACCGTTTTATCTTTATCCCTTTTCAGGAACCTGGTGGCCTTAGTCCTTCAGGTGGATCAGCGTGCGACATGGGAAAGAAAACCAAGAGGACAGCTGACAGTTCTTCTTCCGAGGATGAGGAGGAGTATGTGGTGGAAAAGGTGTTAGACAGACGCATGGTTAAGGGGCAAGTGGAGTATCTGTTGAAGTGGAAAGGCTTTTCTGAGTAAGTGCTTTCTTTTTCAGGCATTAGGACTCTGTAGAGGTAGAAAAATTTACCCAGAGCCACTGTCTTTTTCCCATTTATACACTTTCATAAAAATCAAGAGAGTCAATAGACCACAATAGTCTCCCATTGTGGAGCTGATGTTTTAATAATCTTATATTTGAGGGGTAATTTAAGAAATTGGTTGGGAACACAAATTTGGGAGCCAGATAGTCTGGGACCAGATTCTTGTTCCACCCTTTAAGATATAGGTGGATGAACTTGGCTAATTTCTTTTATTTTTGTTATTTAAAAAATTCTTAGCTGGTTGGTGGCGTACACCTTTAATCCCAGCACTTGGGAGACAGGCAGATCTCTGTGAGTTTGAGGCCAACCTGGTCTACAGAGCTAATTCCAGGCCAGCTAGGGGTGTTATACAGTGAAATGCTGTTTTGAAACCAAAAAGAAAAAGAAAAGAAAAAAAAATATTTTCTTGCTGGGCTGGGTGATGATACACACCTTTATTCCCAGAAAGGGGGGGGCATGGGTTTGAGGCCAGACTGGTCTAAAGATAGTGTTCCGGGACTGTCAGGGCTACACAGAGAAACCCTGTCTCCGAAAACACACATAAATTTTTTTTTTTTTTTTTTGTGGGTGTGTGTGTGTGTGAGTCTTTTACCTGCATGTATATCTGTATACTGCATTTGTGTTGTCTGGTGCCCACAGTGCAGAGAGCGCATCAGATCAGCTGGAACAGGAGTTGCATATGGTTGTGAGTGGCCATGTGAGTTTTGGGAGCCAAACCATGGTTCTCTGGGAGAGCAGGCAGTGCTCTTAAATACTGAGCTATTTCTTCGGTCCATTGTTTAATTTTATAATCTTTTCATTTTTTCCCCTTTAATAAAATAGGGACAAGAGGTGGGTGTAGTTTAATGGTAAAGTGCTTTCACCTAGCATACTCAGGGTTCTGGTTTGATTCTCAGGTATGCCAGAAAAAGAAAAGAAAAGAAACAGACAAAGACAGAGATAAGACATACATAGTACTTAGAGGTCTCAATGAGTGTGAGTAGACCACTTGTTATGGCAAGTGTGAGCATTTGAATTTAGATACTAGAACCCATGCAGAGTTAGGCACATGCATCTCTCCCTGTGGTCCCACACTGAGATTGAGACTGAAACAAGAGAATCCCTGGAAGCCTGAGGGGTAACTAGCCTGGCATACCTCGCAGTGAATAAGTTTAGAAGGTGGGGACCTACAACTGAGGTGGTCTCAGACTTCCAGTCATACACACCCACACTCATGCAGACAAACAGGAATATACACTTAATAGATACACATGTGCATATATAATAAACGATTTATGAAAAGAAGCCAAGGCTTTAATCCCAGCTCTCTGAGTCAAGTGGATCTCTGTGAGGTCCAGGTTAGTGCTGAAAGCATTGTACTACTATGCCCAGTTTATAACTAGCATTTCAATATAAGTGCTTTTTTGTTTGTTTAAATTTTTAATTTCTAAGGGGCAGGTCACTTTCACTTTCTTGTGTGAGTCAAAGTCTCTTGTTTTGGTTGTGAGCAGGATATCTGAGGCTAGCTTTCAGCCAGTTCTGTCTTTGCCCCCGCATCTTGCAGTAGGAAGACCAGCACATCCAGCTTTTTAGTTCCAGGGACTGAACTTTGGTCTTCAGGCTTGGATAGGAAGTGTATTTACCTACTGAGCCATTTTCACAGCCTGACATCACAACTTTATCTTTAGCAGAAGATATATAGCTCAGTAGTGGAGTGTTTGCCTAGTGTATATGAGGAATTGGGTTTTGTTCTCTTGGATTTTTGGTTTGGTTTGGTATTTTGTTTGTTTGTTTTTGTTTTCGAGTCAGAGTTTCACGGTCCTTGGCTGTCCTGGAACTAGCTCTGTAGACCAGACTGGCCTGGAACTCAGAGATCTGCCTGCCTTTGCCTCCCTAGTGCTGGGGATTGAAGGTGTTTGCTACCACCTGGCTGGGTTTTAATCCTCATTACCACAAAAAGCAAACAAAAACAAAATGCAATAAAAAACAACAGGTAGAAGTAAATTTGCTAAAATAGTCAATGTTTTGCCAGTACTTTAAAGTTAGGTCCCTTCAGGATCTATTGAAAGTTATTTCCTTTCATGATTTAACATTATTCTTATGGAGTACTGGGCATTTTAGGTAAGTTGATTCATGCATAACAGATTATTTAGCATCTGTTATACCAGAGTGCTGCTTTGTTTTTTGTTTTTTGTTTTTTTTTTTTGCTTCCAGACAGGGTTTCTCTGTATTGCTTTGGAGCCTGTCCTGCAATTTGCTCTGTAGACCAGGCTGGCCTCTAACTCACAGAGATCCATCTCCTGCCTCTGTCTTCTAAGTGCTGCAATTAAAGGGGTGTGCCACCAACACCCAGCCCATAGTGCTATTTTTATACAAGGTCTCATAGCCCAGGTTGACCTAGAACTCACTATGTGTCCAGAGATAGCACTTGAAGAGTTCCAGGTCATTCCTAGACTTTCCATCAAATTACCACTAGAAATACTTGTATGTTTGAAAGGTGGTTACAACTGTTTGAACTTTCCCAGCAGTGGTGGCACATGCCTTTAATCCCAGCACTCAGGAGGCAGAGGCAGACGAATCTCTTGTGAGTTTGAAGCCAGAGTGAGGTCCAGGACAGCCAAAATTACAGTGAAACCCTGTGTCGAAAAGCAAACAACAACAAAAAAAAACTGTTTGAACTTTTGGTACTTTTTTGGTTTTTTGAGACAGGGTTTCTCTGTGTAGCTTTGGAGCCTATCCTGCCACGCGCTCTGGAAACCAGGCTGGCCTCGAACTCACAGAGATCCGGCTGCCTCTGCCTCCCTAGTGCTGGGATTAAAGGCATGCGCCACCACCACCCGGCCTGGACTTTTGGTACTTAACATAAGTGAAAGACAAAATTGGGGTAGATAGATTAAGCATTGTCATAAATGAATGTCTGGGATTGGGATTGGAGATAGGGCTCAGCAGTTATGAGCGCTTCTTGTTCTTCTAGAAGACTCTAGGTAGGTTCCCAATACCTTTGTACCACAGCTCACAATGGCCTGTGACTCTGGTTTCAGGAGTCTGATGCCCTATTCTAGCCATCTCCACCACACATAAACATTTTTACATTTTGTAAAAGAATTTAAAATATTTTTTTTTATTTATTTATTTTCATGACAGGGTTTCTCCTTATAGACCAGGATGCCCTCAAACTTAAGATATCTGCCTGCCTCTGCCTCCTCAGTGCTGGGATCATAGGTATGTGCCATCACACCTAGCAAATACAATCTTTTTAGGAACAATTGCCTGGGATTTCATAAAAGGCTAGAATAAATTTTCCTTTCTTCCCTGAGCATTATCTGCAAGAGAAAACCTAGCTATGTACCATGGCAGCGTCCATATATAAACTGTTTCTTCCTATAGCATACATAACTTGTGGTAAGAGTTTAATTTGTTAGGCAAGTACAAGTTTAACAGTAGAAACTAGGAATTTGACTGAGTTGGTAGAGTCTTGCCTAGCATACACTAAACTTGGATTTGATCCCTAGCACTGCATATACTGGATAAGCCTAGCTGTCAGTAGGTAGAGGCAAGAAGGATCAGGAGCTTAAGGTCATTCTTGGCTACATAGTAAACTCCAGGCCAGCCTGGGTTCAGGGAACCTGCCCCCCCCCCAAAAAAAAAGTTTTGATGGATTGATGTGCTGGTGTGCTCCTTAGAAAATAAAAAATTAATGTTAAAGCCAGGCAGTGGTGTCCCGTGCCTTTAATCCCAGCATAGAGGAGGCAGACAGCAGGGCTACACAGAGAAGCCCTGTCTTAAAAAAGAAAAACAAACAAAAAATCCAAAAATGGGTACAATATAGTTAAAGATAGATTGAGACCATTTACCTTTTATAATAATATTTTTATAATTCTATCATTAATTTTTTAAAATAAAAATAACTTTATTTTGTGTATGGATTTTTGCCTGAATGCATGCCTTATACCCATAGAGGCCAGAAAAGGGTATTGAATCCTGTGGGACAGAAATTACAAAGGGTTGTGAGCCACCATGTAGGTGCTAGTAATTGAACCTGGGTCCCCTTGAAGAGTAGCCAGTGTTCTTTTTGTTTTTTTGTTTGTTTGTTTGTTTTTCGAGACAGGGTTTCTCTGTGGCTTTTGGAGGCTGTCCTGGAACTAGCTCTTGTAGACCAGGCTGGTCTCGAACTCACAGAGATCCGCCTGCCTCTGCCTCCCAAGTGCTGGGACTAAAGGCATGCACCACCAACATGCCTGACTGTAGCCAGTGTTCTTAACTGTTGAGCCATCTCTCTGGTCCCCTGTCACTAGTTGTTATTGTTAGTTTTTGTTTTTTTTGTTTTTTTAAAGATTTATGTGTATGAATTCTTTGTCTGCATGTATATATGTTCATCATGTACATGCCTGAGCAGAAGAGGGAATCAGAATCCTGAGACAGGGGTGCTAGAGTGATGGCTCAGTGGTTAAAGAACACTGACAGCTCTTCTAGAGGACCTAGCTTCAAATCCCAGCACCTACATGGCAGCTCACAACTGTCTGTATCTCCAAGACCTGACATACTCACACAGACACACATGCAGGCAAAACACCAATGCACATAGAATAATAAAAATGATTATAAGCCACCACATAGGCGTTGGAAATCAAATCCAGGTCCTCTCCAAGAATAAATGCTCTAAATCACTGAGCCCTCTTTTCCAGCTTCCTGTTAATTTTTTAAATTTATTTTTAAGTGTTCTTTATTTGGTTTTTGTTTGTTTTTTTTGAGACAGGGTTTCTCTGTGTAGCTTTGGAGCCTATCCTGGCACTCCTGTAGACCAGGTTGGCCTTGAACTCACAGAGATCCTCCTGCCTCTTCCTCTTGAGTGCTGGGATTAAAGTCGTGGGCCACCACTGCCTGGTTTATATCCTTTTCTTACTGTGATGATATGGGTTGTGTTAGTTTACTTTCTGTTGCTCTGACCAAAAACA